GCAGATGCAGATGAGCAAAACAAAAATTCTTTCTCTGGAACTACACTTACAGTACTTCATACGGGCTGATTGAATGCAGAAGCAATTCCTAGTATGCAATGAATGAACCCATTTCCGGGTTATTCTGACGAACACAGCGGCGTTGACGCGGGATAGCTCCGGCTGGTGACACGGCTGGACCTCCGGCGACCGAGCCATCGAAATGAACCGCGGCTGGACTTCTTGCATGGACTGCGGACGGCGGCAAGTGGTTGAACCGGCGGCACTCCGGCTTCGCAGACACAGCCGGCTAGCCGGACTTGGCTGTTGGCGTCGGAGACAAACATGGGCAGGAACTGTGCTTCTTTTATTTTTGTCCGTTCTGATGTCCTTTTGGAGATGGCAATGACGGAGGTGGCGGTTGGACGACTCCGATGGCGACGCGGCTGGATCCCTCCATTGGGTTCCAGCTCTTCTCTTGATTTCTATACATGGTTGCTGTGCTCTGGTGGCCAAGGATAGCGTGTAGAATTCCGTGCTCTGTTCTGATCTTCCAAAATGGTGAGTGAAAGCGGCATGCATGGCAATTCTTCTGGATGAAACGTGCTGAGGAGAGGTGCTCTGGACCCTCAAGAACGTGCACTCCGGATCATCAAGTTGCAGGCAACAGAGAAAAGGAATTAACACGCAAGGTGGTGCAGCGGGCAGGGCGCTGGCCTGAAAGTTTAAGCACTTGGGTTCGAATCTTGCTTTTATTAAGCTGGAATTTTTTGAGCTTTTGACATTTTGCTTTCCGGTGAAGAATGGCGAACTGGCAGAAACAGATCGGTGGTGAATGCAGAAACGAAATATAGAGGAACACGGCCTTTTGTCCCGGTCCCCACGGACGGCGCCATTTGATGTGGATTATTCCCGGTTGTACTCGTAGAATGTATGTACCATGTATGTATTGTGTATGAATAATGTAAAGTAGACAAGAAGTAGTTCAAATAACTCTTTTGTTCATAATTTGCTCTTGTGTAAAGAGAGGAGAGAGTGTTTAGCTAGAGAGAGAGCTAGTGGAGAAGAGGAGAGGAGCCCCTTAACCTTGAGGGTTAAGGCCCTATTTATAGGATCAAGCGTAGGCAGGTTTGACCTTGACCTGTGGACCGGGACCCGAACCGTTTGACCCCTACCCAAATGAGAGCACGGAGCGTACGGGGAGCCTGTACCCGGGGTATATTCCCCATCAACATGCTTGAAGACAATGATCAAGTGTTCTCTTATTTGTACTGAGTCACAGGTTCCTTATACGAGACTCATGTTACTAACAAGTCCTACAAAGATTATTGACTTGCTTTTGGAATTAAAGAACCTTGAAATAGAATGCTAGGAGGTTGAAAATAATGTTGCAAAAGTGGTTTCAATATAAGAAAGTGAATAAAATGTGAATTTTCTACTTTACCTCTAAAATTTTAAATATTTTTTTAAATTTTTCCGTCAATTTTAACAGTCGGATACCAAATGCGCCACTTTGCTCATAACTGAAGGACTAAAAATAGATACAGTCATAACTCAGGGACTGAGTCGTCACTACCATTATAACTCAGGGACCAAACTCGTCATTTTCCTTTAAAAAAAAAAATTTTGAGTTTCAAAAGTGAATATGGAAGATTGAAAAAATGAAAAATTACAAAAAATGAAGAACTAAAAAAAAAAAATTAGAGGAATATAAAATTGAGAAATGGACAACTGAAGCAATGAAGTAAACGGGGAATAATTATAGAGTTTCTGTGCAACAACAACATTAATAATAATAATAATAATAATAATTATTATTATTATTATTATTATTATTATTATTATTATTATTATTATTATTATTTTTGAAACAACATAACAAGATTCATTAACAACTCAATAAACCGGAAATACACGGAGGTGGGATCACACCCCACGAACCTGAGACAGGCAAAGAAACAGTCGCCCAAGCTAACTCATGAGCAACTTTATTCGTTGTTCTCTTGACATGTTGGACCTTAACAGTCCCTATGTCACTAGCAATCGACTGACATTGCTTTACTAACATCCCTACATAAGAAAAATCCAACGCATTCGAATTAAAAGCATTACATATAATCAAACAATCTAACTCAAGAATTATTGTGCTATGACTAAGGCCTTTTAGCCAGATTAAAGCTTCTCTAGCTGCCAAGGTTTCTGCCATCAAAGGATCGCTACCACATGACAATCGGCCACTCTTAGCCGCCACAAAACTACCAACGTGATCGCGTACCACCGCTCCGTAGCCAACGCCACCAGGGAGGACAGCAGCGTCGATATTGCATTTGAGTGAACCTCGGGGAGGCGGGTTCCATTGCTGAGCAGAAGCACCGTCGCCCGTCCTCGTACGATTGAGTGCAAACGCTCCTTTCCAAACTAACTTTAAGGCATGCACCTGCGCCTTCAGACACTCGGCAGAAGGAACAACATTTCTCCAGATCACCGCATTACGTGTTTCCCACACCACCCATAGGACTGCTGCTAGTCGGACAGCAGCCTCTACGCTCGGAGAGCTCAGAATAGAGTCCATAAACTCCTGTATGCATTGCCCCTATGAAACGTCGTTCTCCTCCCATACTCTTTGTGCGAACTGGCAGTCACAAAATATATGCTCCGCTGTCTCCGCAATGAAACCGCACAGTGGACAACCCTCGCCTATCCAAACCCTATTCGATTTCAGATTCTCACGCAGAGGAAGAATGCCACGGGCACACTGCCATAGGAGATTCTTTACCTTGGGAATGATCGGAAGCGACCATAGAGACTTCTATGACCGGAAAGCATGACCGGTCGAACTTGGATTATTAGTCAAAGTGAGTAGTCTGTAACCATGTTTAACTGTGTATAGTCCCCTTATGTCGTCTAACCACCTCCAAGAGTCACTGAGATGTGTGTTCACTGGTGTTGCCATAATTCTGTGTACATCATCAGCATGGAAAACATCACGTAACACTTCAACATCCCAGTTACCTTGTTCGTCCAAGAGGCCACTAACTCTTGCTTCGCTGAGTGCTTCAATACTGTGCGAGACTAGCTTAGTATTAGCAGTGCATGAAAGCCAATCCCAGCCCCATATTTTGGTATCTTGACCGTTGCCAATTCGCCGCGCTATCCCCAACCGTAGAACCTTTTGACCGGCCACAATGCTACGCCATATATAACTTGGGTTACCCCCAAATTGTGTTTCCATGAAATCACAGCCAGGATAATACTTGGCCTTTAACAATCGACCAACCAATGATTCAGGGTAAATCAACAAACGCCATCCTTGCTTAACAATTAGAGCTAAATTGAATTCCCGGATTCGCTTGAAACCTAACCCGCCCCTGTCTTTTGGCTCACACATCCGTGACCAACTCAACCAATGAATACCCTTTCTACCTTCCCCGCCACCACCCCACCAATACCGGTTCAACATCTTCTCGACGGTGTCACACACTCTACCTAGCAGCAGGAAAATTGACATGGTAAAAATAGGTAAAGCTTGAGCAATGCTCTTAATTAACACTTCTTTACCTGCCTTAGATAGATATTTGTTCTGCCAGGCCCCAATGCGGTTCCGGATCCTCTCCTCAATGTACCGAAACGTAGCGGTTTTGTTCCGACCTAACACCGAGGGAAGACCGAGGTAACAACCCAAATCTCCCGCAACACACACTCCCACTCGCTCCGCCACTACATTCCTCATCTCGACGGCAGAATTCATACTAAACACGGCATTTGATTTATCGTAGTTTATTAACTGTCCCGACGCCGCACTATAAGCATCCAGACACTCTCGCACCCTTATAGCCTCATGCTCATTAGCCCTGAAAAAGAGCAAACTTTCATCAGCAAAGAAGAGGCGTGAGACGGGCGGTGCCCCCCGCGCCACCCTCACACCGTGAATGTCACCCCGTGCCTCCGCCTGTTGAAGGAGGACTGACAACCCCTCCGCACATTGGATGAAAAGGTAGGGAGATAAAGGGTCCCCTTGCCTTATTCCTCTCGTAGGGTCGACGGTACCTATTGTCTCCCCGTTAACCTGGATGGAGTAGTTAACCGAAGAGACACACAACAACAAGAGGTCCACCCACTCCCGCACAAACCCGAGAGCCAACAACATGCCCTCCAAAAAATTCCACTCCATTCTATTGTACACCTTAGCCATGTCTAGCTTCTGCGCCGCCCACCCCACAGCCCCACTAGTCTTTCTTCGTAAGAAGTGACCAATTTCCCCCGCTACGATAATATTATCTGTCAACAACCGTTCAAGGACAAAAGCACTTTGTGATTGTGACACGACCTGCCCTAGACATCCCTTCAAACGATTAGCCAACATTTTGGCCAAAATCTTGTAGGCCACGTTGCATAAAGCAATCGGGTGTAAGTCAGACACTTTCTCGGGATTCTTCTTTTTAGGAAAAAGAACGATATTTGACTCGTTGAGTCTCCCAGGTAACCTCCGAGTGGAAATGCAGTTCAAGATAAAAATGGATAAGTCATGGCCAATCACCAGCCAAAAATGCTGGTAAAAGGCCGGCGACATACCGTCTAGCCCCGGGGCCTTGTCTGGTGACATTGAAAATAATCCCGCTTTGACCTCCTGAACCGTAAACGGTTGTAACAGGGAGGTATTCATCTCGTCTGTTACCCGCCTATGTACTCGGTTAAACAGGTCTGAGTTACTGTGCCTGGAGTGAAAAATATGATTGAAATACCTTATAATTTCCCCATGCATTTCTGGTCCCTCCTTCCACTCCCCTTCCGTGTCTTTCACTCGGGCCAGGCGGTTTTGTCTTCTCCGACTCGAAGTTGCTTTGTGGAAGTACTTAGAGTTTCGGTCACCATGAACCAGCCAGAGTTGCTTTGATCTCTGCCTCCAGAAAATTTCCTCCTACCTCAATAAAACCTCCAACTCCCCTTCTGCCGCCAGAAATTCTAAAATGCGTGCGGGTTCCTATCCTCTTTCAGAGTCGTTAATTTCTCCTTTAACACCTTTATCCGATTCCAAAACTGGCGGTAATGCTCTCCCCCCATCTCCAAAGCCGCTGACCACACTCAGCTATCTTTTGCTGGAAGCACATTCCCATCGCCCGGCGCCAAGCTTCATCAACCACCTTGGCACACCCCTCCTCAAGCAACCACGCCGATTCAAATTTGAACGCCCTCCTAGTCGCCCTCACCGGCTGTGTATCTAAGTCCAAAAAGATGGCATAGTGGTCAGAATTGTAGGTCCAAACATTTCGTACCTCTACCTCCTCGTAAATCTCTAGCCATTCTAACGAAGCCACGACTCTATCCAAACGTTCCTCCACCCATGCATCCGTCCCTCGACCCTTCTCCCACGTGAATCTGCCACCCGTCATCCCAAGATCAACGAGCTGGCAGTCTCCCAGGGTGTCATTAAAACCCTCGATGAGTGCCCCTGGATGAGGATGCTCTCCCAGTTTTTCCGATTGGCAGGCGATGTCATTGAAATCGCCTAGGACCACCCAAGGAAGAGACGAACGATCCCTGAGTTGCCGAAGGAGATCCCAAGTATCTTGTCATCTGTTCCTGTACGGATTACTATAAAATCCAGTCAATCTCCATGTCGGTTTGCCCGGAAGAGTTACCTCTATGTCGATATGATTATGTGAGTAACTTAACAGAGTCGCCATGTCAGCGTCTCTCCAAAACAAAGCCAAACCCCCACCCAAACCAACCCGCTCCACACACAACACCCCTTCAAAACCCATCTGCACTCGCAACCGCTCCACCTGTCTTTCGCTTGCTTTCGTTTCCATCAAGAAAACGAAACTGGGTTGCTCTTTGGACACTAAGCTCAAGAGTTCGCGAACTGTCCGGGTGCCATCCATTCCCCGGCAATTCCAGCTCGAGACACTCATTGGGATGGGCGAGCCTGGCTCTCCAGACCCGCCGTCGACATGTTTTTTGAAGACTCACCCATCGCTACATCCACCCCCTGCACATTGTCATTAACCTCTCTATCCCCCCTGCGCCGCTTCAGATCCCCATGTTAGCCTGCACCCTCTTCAATCGCCATCAGAGACAACGCTGGGTCGGCCGCAGTATCAGTGCCCATCATTGAAACATGTGTCATGGATGGCAACAGCCACCTTGCACCCAACGGCTTGGCTTGGCGACGCGGACCTGCCCGCATCCAGACACCAAACGGAAATGCCTCCGGCTCAACCCCTTCTTCATAGACCCTCTTGCAAAATATTTCTGTGTGACCCAGCAGCCCACAACAGAAACAGAAAACACTAAGTCTCTCGTACCTGAAAGTGATCCATTGAGACGTGTCATCCCTTCGATTCAGCTTCATGCGTCTTTTCAGCGGGATCGTCACATCCAATTTGACTCGAATTCGATAGAAGCTGCGCCAGGAGCCCCCAAAATTACCAGAATCTGTCACAATAAAATGCCCGACGTAATTTTCGATCCGAGTGATAAATTTCGTGGATGCGTAAATCGCCGAAAGTCCGTGAATTTGGACCCAGAAATCAGCTGTGTTCAGAGCAACCTCCTCTGGTTGCATCTCCTCCAGCACCGTGCGCAGATTAATAATTGATTCTCAAACGACCACGGGCCGTCGTCTAACACTCTTCTCAGATCTTTCTGGTGTGGGAATTGAAAGAGGAATAGATTGTCCGCCAGAGAAACCACATGCACACCCATGACCGGACGTCAGACCGACACCAGGACTTGTTGCATATGATCGAATTTGATCAGTTTGTCCGTGAGAAATCTCCCCACTAAGTTGTGACGCAAACCCGGATCCAGCACAGTCCGTAGATCAGGCGCTTCCAAGTCGCTCGTCTCTTCTTCGGCGATCTTAAGATCCGCACAACGTTCCTCGATTTGACTCATATCCATATTGACTCGGAGCGATTGATATGAAGCGATTACCAAGAGATAAACAATAACAATCAATGCAGACGCCATCAGGCACCGGAATATAAACCCTTGATTGCTAGGGAGACACTCTCCTCGACACGACCAAGGGAGAGGGGCCACTATCAGCAACGGCGATCGGAACGCACGATCAGCGAGCACGATCGGATCTTACGCGGAATACGGAGCTTTTTCGAGGTACTGTAGTGATTGCAAAGTTTAATTTACCTAATACACATCTCAAATAGTGATTGTGAATTTCTATTATTATTATTATTATTATTATTATTATTATTATTATTATTATTATAGCCACTTTTTTTTTTGAAAAGATTATTATAGCCACTTTAATTGTATATAAAATATTTTTAGAATTCGTTAACGCCAACCAAAAAGGCCTCAAGTAGGCTAGTAGGTTAAAAAAAATAAAAACTCATCTAGTGATTCTAGTCAAACTTTGATAGCTCTTTAACCAATTTTTCTTATTCGTTCAGTTCTTTTTTTTTTTTTTTTCAACAAATTTCAATTTTTACCAATTTCTTGAAAACTCCTTCAACCATATGCTATTGAAATGGCATCCAACTACATGCACAGTAACAAACATTATACACTAAAATTCATATATATTGCCATTAATATTAAAGTCTGTTATTTTGCGACGATAACATGATGATATAAAGATAACTAGACTTAAATTTACTTACTTATGTATAAATATAATAAGTACTTTAGTTTAATTTGGAAATAAAGATTTAAAAGGATCCTTAGCTTGTTTGAGAATTCAGTTTAGATCAAAAAGTATTTTGGAGTATAAAGTCAAATTTATATGAGAACTATTCCATATGAGAGAAATGTGATTTAATTTGACCTCTTTATTTAATAAAATCTAATTAATAGAATTTAATTAGGTATGATTACGATTCAGTTTGAACATGACGTTTCGAACCGTATCGTGTATTGTGCTAATCGAATCGGACCGAAACCCATAAAGTTTCAGACTTCCGGTTAAGGTTTTCAAAATTATGGAACCGAAATTGAAACCGTCGATTTGGGTTCTGAACCGACAAAAAAAACGCATGTTACATGTGGCCTACTGCCTACTGGCAACTGGCGCAAAGGCCAGGCCACGCCTGTACTTTGCGCCAGTTTCACCTTTGAGTCTTGTCAAGACTCAAAGGTGAGTCCGTGAGTCTAATTAATTAGACTCAATTACCCAAAGTGTCCAAACATTTAAAAAAAAAAAAAAAAAAAAAAAAAGAACAAACAAACAAAAGCATTACTCAACGCTGATTACAAAACATTTAAAAAAAAAAAAAAAATCACTTTCAACCGGAATCAGAACCTTGATCATGACTAGATTTAATGGGTGTTTTTAACCCTTCTTTATTTATTACGTTAGCGGCATTTAGGTAATTTTCATGTAGTTTCCTTGCATGCGGTTTCCTTATAGATTATGCTGCGTGATTTTATGCCTCGACCTGACAACATTTTATATTTTTATTATCTCTTGATGAGATTAATCAATTCAGCCGTAATCAAATGAAAATTTTTAATTTATAAAAAAAATTATATATTTTAGACTTATGAATAATATTTCAAATGGCGATTGTCATATAAAAAAGTGAACTTTAATAAATAATTTTGAGTGGCAAGTAATATTTTTTGTAATTAATATATTGCATTATATTATTGCATGTGTATATATTCCAAGGGTCCATTTCACATGAAAAATATGCCCCAAGTAAAAATTGTGATATAATTTGGACCATTAAAATCAAGAGATGCATGAGTGTGATCTACGCATTCATATGCTAAATTAGTCCACTCAGAAGTATTCAACGACAAAAAAGTCAAACATTCCTTCCATACTATGCTTTCCATGTAAGATTTTCCCTAATAATATATATTATATATTATATATTAGGGCCTTAATTAGGTGGTGCGAGTGGACTAGGCTTATTAAGTGGTCTGGTTGGACTGAATAACTAGAAGTTGTTAGTCCACCAAACTCTGTGCCTAATATAATCTTGGATTGATGGGATACAAGATGATTGATGTTAGCACATTCAGTTACGGTACCCAGACTGCTTAGTAGATATCAATACACCATCTAGGGTTCTCAGTCAGGTCTGAGGCAAAACATGGCTAACAGTCTACCGTAAGAGGCAACACAACAGGGACATCAACTATGGCTGGAGATCTACATGGCTACGCTTCCGCTCTAATACGAGGTCAGGTTTCTCATATACTATGGTTCATTATAGTTAGAGTATTTAGATCTAACATTCCAAACTTGTTTTTCTCTAACAATATGGATGGAAACAAACAACTATTTGTAATCACTAATATTAACACCTACTCCCAGAATATATATATATATATATATATATATATATATATATATATATATATATATATATATATATATATATATATATATATATATAATGTTTAGTAAAATTAGCTGTTTGGATTAGCGGTGAACATGTAAAATGACCTATAATAATAATAATAATAACATGCAATAGATTGAATACATAATAATAATTATAATAATTATGTAGTGCACAAATATGTACAACATTTTGTAAGTGCACACCTTAAACTCAGCCTTAAACCCTAACCCCTAAACCCTAAACCCCTTAACCTTAAATCCTGACTCCTAAACCTTAGAAAATTGACCACCGTCATATTAACACGGAATACACAACATTGCTTCCCAAAATGCAAAAGTTTACTACTAGCAATGAACAACTTTTACTCTAAGATTACACAAAGGTATCCTACGAGGCACCACACCTAGCACCCCAATGCACAACTCAACGGCCTATGATGCACCCCCCCTCTTAAAATCAAAGGTTTATCAACAAACCTAATCAAAAGCATACTCCAACGAACCGCAAAAAAAAAAAAAAAAAAAAAAAATGAAGCCATGACGAGTAGTCACCACAGACGTCAAAAAAAAAAAAAAAAATCAAAAGAAGAACAAATAAAAATGATCGGAAAAATCCCTAAAACCATAATTATAATTCCTTAACAGGCCGTTTGGTTCACTGTAATTTAGCTGTAGTTGAATTGTAATTCAGTGGATGCCTCAATTACATTGTTTGGTTGGAGAGAATTGCAATTATGAATTGCAATTCCCTCATTTTGTTGAATTGCAATTCATGAGATACCCCAATGAATTGCAATTCAATGAATTTGAAAAAGGAAAAACATATGAAATGACATTACTACCCTTAGTTGTTATTACTATTATAATTACACAAGGGTATTTTAGTCTTTATATCACTTATTTCCTTCTCAATTCCAATAATTCTATTTCTCCATCTCAAACAACGTAATTTGAAATCCTACTTTATTCTCACATTATTCTTTTCCCACCGAATTACAATTCCTTACCCCCATAATTCCTTCCTTCCATCCAAACGCTCCGTTAATTCTTTCCTTCCAACCAAACGCCCTGAATAAAGTTGGTGATTCAACATTTTGAAAACAACAAAATATTAGTGTAACAATTAAATACAAAAGAGAATTAACTAAAGAAAGTGACCACTTCATAGGAATCTTCACTGCCTAATTAAATAATACTCCGTATGTTTTTTTACGCATTTTTCATTTCTAATTTGTCAACATCATTTCCTACGAATGAACAGTTTAACATTCATTAGTCTTTTTCTAGCACACAGTTATTGTAGCACCCAAAGTGTACTATAAATAGAGAGCAAACTCCAAGAACATACATGTAAAACAGAATCTGTTCATTACCATCTCTCTCTCTTCTTCTCTTACCAGAAATGGCTGCCAATTGCCACTTCCTATCAGCTCTTCCATCAAACCAAACTACAATGGATCAACTTACTCGCCGCTCTGCAAATTTTCATCCAACTATTTGGGGAGATTACTTCCTTACTTATTCTTCTCAACCCATGGTAACCTACATACACTTTTAGTCTTAAAACTTAAATGATAAGTTTTAATTACTCTTCCCGCCTCTCGTTTTACCTTTCAAATATGTTTATTATTAATTGGACAAATCAAATCTTTTTTCTT